GTTTGTCATAATGCGTTTAAATTACATGTTTTCAACGAGTAACATAGTACCTACATGAAAAACGATGAAAGATATGTTTCATAAAAACAAGTTATCGGTCCGTTTAAATATTAGTATACCGTATTTTTAAGACACTAGCTGACTAGCTGTACCTGCAACTTCGTCTGCGTTTTACTAACATAAAAGTAGCTTATGTTACTTCTTAGTACATTAGCTAGCTGCCAATAAAAGTCCCGTCAAAATGACTCCAGCCCTTTCAGAGATTAGCCAGTACAAACAGACAGAGAGGCAGATAAAAATTGTAAACAGTGTAAATGTGGTATATGTAGTAAAGTGTAATATTTTAAATGAATCCTCCCCTTCCCCAATCTCCCCAATCCCTGAATCCCCAACGATCCTCAAACTCCTAATCCCCAAAAGGCCGGTAACGCACTTGTAACGCCTCTGGTGTTCCAGGTGTCCATGGGCGACGCCGATAGCTTACCATCAGGTGATCCGTCTGCTCGTTTACCGGCTTATGCCATAAAAAAAAAGAAATATGTAGCTGAACCGAAAATGTCGCTACTTCCGAACAATTAGGCGCCATGATTGATCGCCGGTCATGAGCCATTAATTAACTGAGACATTATTATTCAGACTTCATTGTTCTACCCATTTAGTTGACATCTTTATTCCATTGTAATAAGGGTGCTTTTTGTATAACACGTTCCAATGAATTCCGGTGACCCAGACTTGTGTCTATTGAAGAGTTTGTGATTTACCGCAGTCCGTGACATCTTAATGGCATAAGGTTTAAATTACCTTGACGCGGAACGAAATGTAATCGAACATTGGTACCAACATTTTACATTGCATAACAAGCCTTATGTGAACTGTTTAACATTCATTTCACATCAGCAGGAGAAAGTAAAGGAATTTAGAAAATGCACGAAAAATTCCCGGAAGTCTAGTGAGGTCAAATTAAACGTTACGTTGTCAACATAAGGTTTATTATTCTATGCACAGCTTAATCGCGAAAATTAGTAACTATCTCTTTGGGTTGGGTGACAAAGCAAATTGAACCTTATGTCGATGAAGTATTTAACATAACATCACGCCTTTTATCCCCGAAGGGGTGGGCAGAGGGCATTTAGGGCATTAGGGCATTTAAATCCACAGTACAATGTAACACCCACTTTTTACTATTTATGTTATGAGTCCCATGTAATAGGGGGTTAGCCTATTGCCATATACCGGGCACATTTCCAGACTCCGTGCTACTAACTACTGAGATTTTTAAAACACCCAGTTAATACTTTGTCCGACCTGGGAATCGAATCCGAGACCCCGTGGCGTGCCCGGCAGTTGCACTTCCGACCACTAGGCCAATGAGGCAGTCAGAAATATTTAAGTGCATTTTAATACATTATGTGTTGTTGTATATAATTACTTGTGTGAACCTTTTGTGTTTTCGTCCAGTAGAAAATTAACTACAGTGATTGGACAAACTGACCTAATCATAGGTAGCGCACCCGAGCGTACGGCGCGTCGCGTTCCGCGCGCGCCTCAAAGAGCCATCAGACCACCACAGGTGGGGCCCAATAGGGCCGATGCCGATTCGGAGTCGCGGAGAACCTAACGGGTAACCGGGGCTCCGGCTCGACGTGCAGAACAAGGAACGGGGTGGTTTTTAGTCAGTCAGAATCTGACACTCCCTCCTGCCTCACCCAGGCGGGAGCAGTCATTCGATGATTTTCCCCCCTTAAAAAAAATCATAGCGCCATCTAGTTAGCAACAATAAAACTGAGCTTATTGGCATTTTACGCAAAAATTCCAAACTCCGTACTAAGAATGAGAATTTCAAAAATAGTACTAAATCTTGCAAATAGTATATGAAATAAATTAAATTTAGATTGATTCAATTAAAATTTAAAACTAGAAAAACTAGTTTTCGGCTTCATTCAGATTTTTTTTGATATTTGAAAATTGCTCTATAATTTTATGTTAATTTGACAATGTTTATTAATGAAGCTGAACATCTCAAAAATAAAACTTCCTTGTTTATGGTTTTGTACGGAAATTATCATCATGATTTTTTTTAAAAAAAACAGGGAGACCAACTGATTTATGTTTTTTTCAGACCTGATCTATACTAATATTATAAAGCTGAAGAGTTTGTTTGTTTGAACGCGCTAATCTCCGAAACTACTAGTTTAAGATATTTTGTCACGAAAACCAAAAACGTTAACAAAAAGGCGGGGATAATGTCACTTAGAAAAGATTTATCATCATCATCATATCAGCCACAGGACGTCCACTGCTGAACATAGGGGGAGGCCACAATAACTTCCAGATAGGCCGGTTGGAAGCGACCTACATCCAGCGGCAACACAACGTTGTTTCACGTCGGTCTGCTGTGAGGCCGTGGTATCACTCCGGTCGACCCGGCCCATTCATGCCGAAGCATGGCACTCCCACACTTCGCCTTCGTTTCAACGTCCTTGACTAAAACTATTCATTAAATATTACAGTTTAAAGTATGTATAATTTAGAAGCTATCTATAAAGAATATCGCATCGTAACATGACGGCAACCTCGACGGGGCTCGGGTGTCGTCAACTTGGATACTCATTGCAAATTCATCAGATTTAATGATTACATGCAATGACTGTGTTTATGTTACTGCATAGCAACTGGCTTGGGATAATGAAAGATATTCATTGATTGAATTACAATAAACTGCAAATATAGCATAACATAACACTACGCCTTTTATCCCCGAAGACCCCTTCGGGGATAAAAGGCAGAGGTGCACATTACGGCACTTAATGCCACTGTACAATGTAACTTCCAATTTTCACTATTTATGTTATGAGTCCCATGTAATAGGGGGTGAGCTTATTGCTATATACCGGGCACATTTCCAGACTTCGTGCTACTACTGAGATTTTTAAAAAGCCCAGTAATACTTTGCCCGACCCGGTATTCGAACCCGAGACCCCTTGCCCGGCAGTCGCACTTACGACCAGGCAGGCAGTCAATAATAATAAAGGCAAAAATCATAATAAATTAAGATACCTAATAATAGTACGTAGATTGTTCCATATTATGTGATTTCATCTGCAAGCTTTGTCTCGCGTATTTCCCTATGTTCTTAAATATTGAAATTAATAAAAACTACCAGGGACTAAAATATTAAACTCCCTGAAAAGATAACTTTTCTATGTAGTAAGATTTTTTCAATCGGTCCAGTAGCTAAGTATACGTTTTTGCTCTCCATAGGTGGCGCTTGTAGCGAATATGATCTTGTTACTAACAGGACAATAAGTATCGCTTTTTTAAGGGATAGGAGGCAAACAAGCAGCCGTCTGCTGCAGACGGTAACCTGATGGTAAGGGATCAGCGCCGCCCATATCGCTTGCTAATGTTTTGTAGATGGCAAAGGAATATCATTATTTACGCTTGAATAGTTCTGACTTACAATGTTTAAATGCATTCAATGCCCGTCACGGATCATAGCAACATTGCTCTTGTAATGCAGATGCGTGATGCATATGAAGTTATACCAATCCGTTTATCTTTAATAGAGATTTCAACTTTATTGCTTTTGAAATAAAATTGAAAATGTTTTTGAATGATTGGTATAGTTTGATCTGCTATGTCATTTGATTCAGAGTATATAGAGCGGTATATGACCTTTGTGTATTATTATAGAATGGATAATGAGATCACAAATGACATCAATGGACGGAAATCCGTCGTCATTGTTGCTTATATCGTCTTTTAATGCAATTATTGAGATTGAGAAAATGTATGTCATATTAGAAAAATTATTGATTATATTGTTCAAATAAATTAACATGACCTTTTATCATGATCTCCTGTAGAAGCATAATACTTACGCTTCGGCACGAATGGGCCGGTTCGACCGGAGTGACACAACGGTCTCACAGAAAACCGACGTGAAAATAATGCCTGTAGGGTTAATGGAGAAAAAAATATCGGAACATGTAAAATCATAATTATTTTGAAAATCTTTTGCTCAAAAGATGCAAAGTTTGCTAAAACTCAGCTGACAAAGTGGTCAAACTGTAAACATAGGTTCTTTGTAAGCTATGGCATGTTAGGATGAACTAATTTCCTCAAAATTAGCATTGGTAATGGTTCTCAGTACAATTTCCATTCAACAAGAAATGTATAGGCACATAAATACGTGGACCGTACCTTATTAAATAAGTATAACTAGCTGACCAGGCAAACTTAATTTTTTTTTTATCTTTGAAACCTCTAGGGAAGGTTACTTCCACGAACATTTCAAGACCAAAATTAGCCAATTCGGTTCAGCCGTTCTCGAGTTTTAGCGAGACTAACGAACGAAAATTCATATTTATTTACATAACTAGATGCTTAAAGTGGTTTATTAGGTCTGATTGTAAATCCTTTGACGTTACTGGTGCTAGGAGTGACATTGATTACTAACCATTTGGTGATCCATCTGCTCATTTATCCCCTAAAATAGACTAGGCAATCAATACACTGCGTAAGTACATTAATAATATTTTTCAGTCAAGTGCAGCCGATATCTGGTCAGTTTCTTAAAATTATTAAGTATTACAAGTGACCGACCATATCGCAGCTGTACATGATACGCACAAATGTATCGAGATAACATTATCCAAATCTTAATGAGGCGCGACTCTACCACTGTATCGCATACTACAGTTACCGTTATGCGCGCGCACGCATAAATTAGGTTGCCGGGCTGCCGGCTATACAACCTCATTAGACCTGGCAACTATGAACTTGTTACAGACTGAGGGCACAGCCTGTTCACAACAGAATTCCTAAGTCCTTAAACTTAAAGCTTTCATACTTGTGCATATAGTAAGTACCTAGTACGCGGTGCTATCATTATAAATAACTGTGATACGAGGTACGCGCAGAGCGCGGTCGGGCTCATTCAACTGGCAGTGCGCGCGCCAAACAGTTGTTCGATAACGAAACTAATGCTACGCGCGAAAATGGAAGTTAAACTTTTGACGTTCGTGATTTTGTGTGCTTACGGTGTGTTAGCGTCCGAATATAATTGTGGCAAGAGATCCGCTCTGCTGCTGCTCAAGCGACCAGCCTACGAGTTCTCAATGAGAATGTTACAGCGGGTTACCGAGGAGACAGATGCTCACTTTGTGTACTCACCCGTCTCCACCTGGCTGCAGCTCTCGGCGCTGGCTGAGGGCGCCGATGGCCGCACACTCAACGAGATTTGGCGATTAACCCGACATCACAAGAACAGATGCTTCAAAAGGCAGCTGAGCGGGATTTTAAACCGTCTCAACTTTGACTTACGTTTTGAAATGAAAAGGAAGAGTGTGATTGCAATAGACAAATTGATGGCCGTCAAGAAAAAATACATTCGGGACATAGCGAAGCTGTACGGAATCAAAGTGTTGCTGCTAGCCTTCAACGAACCTGAGAAGTCAGCGCAGGAAGTGAACCACGTGATTGAAGACGGCACCAACGGAGTGATCAACCGTATACTGTACCATGATGACTTTAACGACACAGTGCTACTCATGAGTGATGCTAGTTATTTTAGAAGTGACTGGAAGTCTCCGTTTACTAGTGTCGGGAAACAGCCGTTTTATTCGCGTAAAGGAGATAAAATCGGTGAAGTGAGTATGATAAATCAAGTAGGACAATTCAATGTAATAGATTTCCCTCACATAGGTGCTACAGTGTTAGAAATACCGTGCGCCAGTCGCAGGATATCAATGTTAGTGTTTTTGCCGCAAAAAAAACTATGGGTTAGCGACATATTCTACAGTCTACAGACGACCAGGCTGACCTCCATATTTAACATGTACAAGAGACAAGGGCCCCAGTTAGTAAATGTCACTATACCTAGGTTCAAGCAGCGCTCTGAAATTGAGAACTTACCCGAACTCGTGTACGACATGGGTATCAGGAGGATATTCGACCCTAACGCAGCTGAGTTTAAGGGAATCAGTAAATATAGGTTGTACGCGTCTCTGATGACACAGATAACTGACATAGAAGTTAATGAGAAGGGTGTGACGGCGACTGCTAACTCACTAGTCAGGAATAATGGCTCGGCTGTAGAATTCTTAGCTAATAAACCCTTCGCGTATGTGATAGTAGACAAAGTGACAGATTTCATTCTATACGCTGGTATGTACTCGTCGCCTTCTGTGATTTGAATACCGAGTATTTGGGCACTAAGTCTTGATGTATATGATTTGTCGAGAATCTTTTCTGCGAATGATTTGATCGCAGTTTGCATTCGCGATGTTTTATTTGTAAATAAACTCTGAAAGTAGGACGTCTGTGTTGGACATGCAGAGGGAATGTGCAGTTTAGACGGATTGACATTTCGTGAACTTTGGTGAAAGTGCTTACCGCATTAGACTGTGTCGTCTGAAAGTTATGTTCTTTTGTTATGTGTACCACTGAGGATTGTCTCTCATGCTGCTTTTTTTATGTAAACAAATAAGATGCAAATTAACATAGATTTATTTCCATTCAAATTAAAAAAAATGTATTTTATTATTACCTGCTTGAGTCTTGTATAATTTTTGAATTAACTTGAATCAGTCACCAATGTTTATTTATGTCAAGTACATTTTACGAAACTTGTCATTAGTATTTGATAATGTAAAAAATAACAGTGTTAACAACGTTTTATTTATGGAAGTAGTCTCTAATAGTAAGTTGTTGATGAATAAAACGAATGTTTTCAGTAAAAATAATGTTTATTGATGATAACAAACAATGCAGATATTAACAGTGTATCTATGACTAGTATCACATATATCGCTTGGCATTGCAAACAAATTAACAAAACAATGGACTTATTTGTAGTAGATTTCTAAAGCTAATTATGATTAGGTTTCCTGTATTCGATCACAAAATTAGTACTTTAAAATATACACCATCATCGACGCCTGATTACAGTCCCCTGCTGGATTATAGACCTACATAACTATAAGAGGGTTATCCATAAATTCTTTAGGTACACTTTTTTTTGATGGCGGAAATTCATTCAATGACTTCTCCCGCCTTGGGTTAGGCGAGGGGAAGTTAAAATTCTTACTGACTAAAACCACGCCGTTCCTACTACTACTCTTCGAGCCGGAGCCTCGGAAACCCGTTAGGCCTTCCGCGGCTTCGTATCGGGCATCAGCCCTACCAGGCCACATCTGTGGTGGTCTGATGGCCCTTAGACCCTTACGGTGGCCAGAGATGATCGCGCGATCTCCGACGCTCGGAGTATAATTTCTTAATACATACTTCAACACAATTTTATGAAGGTCAAGATTACGTATTATTCTATTGTTTGTACTCAATAACTGCCGGCAATAACAATACCTAGATATACAAATATATTTATTGCTTTAGTTTAGGTGTTCATTAAAATTTATATATACAGTTCAAGGTTACATCACCATGTTCAAAGGCACGAGAAAATTATACAAATGTTTATGAAACTAGGTAAAATAAACTATACATTTTTACATATATAACATCACGATTTTTATTCCCGAAGGGATAGGCAGTCCACATTATGGCACTTAATGCCGCTGTACAATGTAACACCCACTTTTCACTATTTATGTTATGAGTCCCATATAAAAGGGGTGAGCTTATCGAATATTATAAATGTTTATAAATTTTAATTCGGTTTCGATTATCACGACAGTCTTTGCCCATAAAGTCTAAGCAGAGAAGCTTAGGTGAAAATCTTCAAATTGTTTATGTTTTTTTTTTATAATCTATTCAGTCAATCAAAAGTCAATTTCTATAAAGTAAAGTCAATTTCTATGAAGTAAAGAAATTGTTTATGTTATAGACTGGATATAATTTTACTAGAATATTGTGCACTCTCCACTTCATTAATTTGAGCATTTTGAAACCATCTAGAAATGCCTTCCTATCAAATAATTTGAGGCCTCCAATGGTTAGTAATTCTACCCAGCACTTCATCAACGATATTAGATTTTATTACATTGGAATTTGAGCAATTTTTTGCAATTAAAAGGTTATTGACTTATGACCTTGATATTTTTTTGTACATGTACAATTTTCTATATACTGTTAGTTTCTTTTATATGCGTGACTCATACATATATAACTATGAATAGATTTTTTTGTAAATATCTTGATATAATAATAAAATATAGCTGGTGTAAAATCGAACGGTTGTTATCGATTTAACCTTCGACCATATTAACATATGTGTTTTGACATATTTTCTGATCTTATAAAGTGCTTAATTTTTTTTAACTGGTCAAGTTTAGTCTTTGTCGATAGTACATTTTGTTCTTTACGTGCCAACAGGGCTTCCAAGTCACTTAAGACTTTACTTAGGGTGTAGTTTACCAACTATTACTTTAACTTACATCCTTACCTACTTATATTATAAATCGGAAAGTGACTTTGTTTGTTTGTTCCACTTTAACGCCGTAACTACTAAACCGATTGCTTTGAAATTGTGCAGACGTAAAGGTACAAGTCCGGATTAAATAATAGGGTACTTTTTATCCCTGAAAAATTTAATATTCCCGAGGGAAAACAAAAGTATTGGTATAGATGGCGCTGTGTGTATTGGTATATGTCACATTGGCTTTTTATCCTTTTGTGACGCGAGCGAAGCCGCAGGTAAAAGCTAGTATTTCATAATTGGGTACTTGCCTTAATCAAAAATAAATTATTTCGACTGTTCAATACAACAAAATATTAAAAAAATAATCACACTTTCATTAATTGATTTTATGATTACTTAACTTAATTTTAGTATTTTTCCAGCCAATTCTTAAGAAATAAATATAATATGCTGATTGACGCTAAAAAAACGTGACGTCACAATACACAATCTCGTACAAAATTCATAGAAAACTGTCGTTTTTGACAGTTCGGATAAAGTATTTAATTTGATTAGTTGGCAAGTACCCAATTATCATGTTAATCTGTCAGTTAAGACTAACTGAAACTTTAACAGCAGCGGTGGTTAAAACTGGACCTTATAATCACATGTTTAACGTCGAATTTATCATATCAACATAACATAACATAACATCACGCCTTTTTATCCCCGAAGGGGTAGGCAGAGGTGCACATTTCTGCACTTAATGCCACTGTAAAATGTAACACCCACTTTTCACTATTTATGTTATGAGTCCCATGTAATAGGGGGTGAGCCTATTGCCATATACCGGGCACATTTTTCCAGACTCCGTGCTACTACTGAGATTTTTAAAAACCCAGTAATACTTTGCCCGGCAGTCGCACTTGCGACCACTCGGCCAATGAGGCAGTTTATCATATCACTTTATACTTAATCGACTCCGTTATGTAAACTTTTGATTACATGGTACTTTCAACTCAATTGCTAGTCACTAAAGTTTAAAATCTATTAAAGAATTTCAGATTATATTAGCTTGATGTCTACCAAAGAGGTCTTACTTAATTTTTTTTATTAAAAAATTGTGATCTATGTGTCTAAAAAAATATACTACACTGTCCTCTGGTAAGGCCACCTTTTCACAATTATCATAACTCTATTATTAGAATAATTCTCAAAATTATCCGCCATCTTTCATAGTCAGTCATTTCTATACAACCTAACTTAAAACTATAATGTTCGATATTTACTTTCTCAAAAACTACTGCATCGATTTTGATAAATTTTGGCGTACATTATATGTAGATCATGACCTGTTTATCGAACGAGTTCTTGATTGAACACAACTGTTTATAATTGTATTAATCACTCCAATAAGTAAATAAGTATCGTTTCACAAAACACAATCGATTGCTTTTCCCGATTAATCGATTCGATATGTTACTCTCAAAAAGACAATTGTGCCTAATTAATTTTGTTATGACAATGAGAAATACGATACAATCGGTTGGAAAATTATTAATTGTAGTGATTTAGAATATTGAAATATCGATACTTATGTTTGATTGAATTATTTTCATATACGTCCTCCTTGCCCCATTTGTGATGCATCCAATGTGGTTATTTGTACCTGGAATGAAAGAGAAACAGTTATTAGTATTTTTAATATGCAAGATGGAGTCATTACTTAGGTAACTCCTTTCTAACAAAAAAAGAATTTTCAAAATCGGTTTATAAACAACGGAGATATCGGCGAACAAACATAAAAAAAAAAAAATCATATATACGGTCGAATTGAGAACCTCCTCCTTTTTTTTGAAGTCGGTTAATAAAATCGCAAAAACATATAAATAACAGTACAAATAAATATCTGAAAACTATGTTTTAAAAGTCCGAGTTTTACATTATATTTATTATAAAAATAATAATAATAAAGTCAGTTGATATACCAATGCCCTACTCCTAAGTGTAATAAACACTTTTATGAAAATCGCATCAAAATCGGTTTACCCAATCGCGAGATTAACCGCGGACAAACATAAGTACTTACATACAGGTCGAAATGAACACCTTTATTTTCATACTAGCTTTTACCCGCAGCTTCGCTCGCGTCACAAAAGGATAAAAAGTAGCCTATGTGACATATACCAATACACATAGCGCCATCTATACCAACACTTTTGTTTTCTCTCGGGAATATTAAATTTTTCCGGGATAAAAAGTACCCTATTATTTAATCCGGACTTCTAACTTTACGTCTGCAAAATTTCAAAGCAATCGGTTTATTAGTTACGGCGTGAAAGCGGAACAAACAAACAAACTCACTTTCCGATTTATAATATTAGTAAGGATTCAAGTCATTTAATAAAATCGGTGAGTTTTACCTCAACTCAAGGAAATTGAACATTGGTAATTTTTGTTTTAGTTTGATAGGCCCTTATCATTTTTACAGTTCAACTTTTGACCGTAATATTGACCACAGCAGAGGTTAAGAGCTTAAGAAGTGTGACTTAACTTAGATATGATTCACCAATTGACGAATGGTTCAGTACATACGTGATACAAAAAAATCTTTACTTTTTTATAGCAAATAGTTGAAACTAGTTTTCGGCTTATTTTTTTTTTAAGTGGGGAAAATCATCGAATGACTGCACTAGGCCCGGACGCGAGAGGTCGCCATCGCCGATCACTTCCCTGAGGGCACGGCGGTGCTCAGCCCACGCAGGGCATTCCGCTACAGTGTGTTCCACCGTGTCCTCAGGGCGGTCCTCGCAGTGATGACACCCGGGCGTTTCCTCA